CAGGCATCTCTTCAGAGAGCAAATGAAGACCCTTCTTCTTTTAAAAAAATATATATTTATTGATTTCAGAGAGGAAGGAAGAGGGAGAGTGATAGGAGAGTGAGAGAGAATCATTGATCGGCTGTCTCCTGCATGTCCCCTACTGGGGACCAAACCCACAACCTGGGCATGTGCCCTTGACTGGAATCGAACCCAGGACCCTTCAGTCCTCAGGCCGAGGCTTTATCCACTGAACCAAACCAGCTAGGGCTGAAGATGCTTCTTAACAACACAGAAGTAATTCCAATTGTCTACAGTCTGCTTTTCCACACGCGGGTTTAGATCTATGGCTGGGACTTCGACTAGCCTTACTCACCTTTGTAGACCCTGTGAGCACATAATACATGTTTGCTGAATGACTCGCTGAAGAAAAATGACCATTCACGATCATTACTATGTTGTGTGTGTGTGTGTGTGTGTGTGTGTGTGTGTTGAAAGCATTTTCAAAATTTTGGTTAACTCCTTACAACTGTGTATATTTGCTTTAAATGTAACAAATATTCTCTTTCTAAAAATTCCTTCTTTTCTAGACTTACTATTTATTCTTTTACTTCTGATTTGAAAATAATCGTAGACTCACAAGAAGTTACAAAAATAGTAGAGAGGTCCTGTGTGTCCTTTGTCCAGTTTCCTCATTGGTAGCCTCTTACATAGCTCTAATAATAGATTACTAAAACTAGGAAATTGACATCTTCCTATCTTCTTTAGATTTTTAGTTTGTTTTTGTTTCATTATATCAACAAATTACCATTTGCCACAATTCATTTCTATTGTACTTGATTTGGCTCTTCTCCCTTTCCTAGATAGTAAATGACTGTCAATAAGCTTGCTATGGTACTCATTTGGAATTACAAGTTGACTAAAAAATTCTGGAGGTCAACATGCTTAAAAATTATTCATTTGTAAGATTTTTGCTTTTTTTCTGCTTACACTATTCCATGTCATAATAAACCTACAAATTTAGACAACCTGTGTATGTGTGTGTTTTATACAGCCTCTGACCCCTGAAGCAGGTTTGGAAACAGGTGAGTTTGCAATACCCATTGGACATCTAAGCAGAGATATCAAGGAGGCAATTGAATATGAAAGTCAGTAATTCAGAGAAAATATCCAGGTAGGAAATGTATGAATCCATATAAAGAATAGGAATACAAGTAACCATACCTGGAGAATCAATTAGAAATACCCAGAGGTTAGCCTAAAGCCTCTTACCCATGCTTTTGTTCTAGGCTGGCTTTGTTTGTAGATAGCTATCAGTTACTTTATACTGCCTTTCAGAATGTTTATATGCATTTCCGTCTGCAATTCACTTGTATTCTAAAGAGTTTAGACTTTTAATGTTGGGTCTTCCCAAGCAGATTACACATTTCGTAAGAAAAAATCTTACAATGCCATATCCCTGGAAGGTGTTTTATAATGCTCATATAATAAACTAGTCTAATGTAGAGTTGTTGTTTTGTTTTGGGTTTTTTTACTTCTTTTGTGTTATAAAGCATCAATTTTCTTTTTTTTTTTCTTTTTTTGTATAGGTTTCCCCTTTCTCTCTCTTTTCCTTTGCAATGTATTTATTGAGGAAACTGGGTTGTTTGTCCTTTAGTTTTCCCCATCCAGATTTTGCTGGTACATCACTGAAAGGTAGTTTCCCTGGCATTTTAGTAAATTGGCGCTAGAGCTTAAGCAGATTCATTCATTCATTCATTCATTCAATTAGTTTTGGCAAGAATATTTTATAGTAGGTGGTATGTTTTTTTTAACTATATTTTATTAATTTTTTACAGAGAGGAAGGGAGAGGGATAGAGAGTTAGAAACATCGATGAGAGAGAAACATCAATTGGCTGCCTCCTGCACACCCCCGCTGGGGATGTGCCCGCAGCCAAGGTACATGCCCTTGACCTGAATTGAACCTGGGACTGTTCGGTCTGCAGGCTAATGCTCTATCCACTGAGTCAAACCGGTTAGGGCAAGCATCAATTTTCTTACAAATTTTTAATTTAGACACTTCTAGCTGTCCTGAGAAAATAAGGATAGAGTTAGAATTTTTGATCTTTTGCCACCCGTGTTCATTTCAAGTCAGACAAAAGAAATTTTCTTATCAAAAAAAAAAAAAATGGCTCAGCTCTCTTCCTCCATTTTGGCAGTAGACTCAGACTTCATGCCCGGCAAGATTTCAGTCCAGCATGAAAGAAATCCTTCCCAGTAGTTCCTGGATTCACTGATGGAACCAACATGATGACCCGCCCATCCCTAAAGAAATTAACTGGAGCTGGAAAAATTCTGTGCTGTGATTGGCCAATTATGAGTCATATGCTTCACCTCTGGTTCACCCAAAGAAGAACATAGACCATAGGAGAGGGTGGTTGCCCAGAAAATAAGTGAAGTACTGTCAGCAAAATGAGAAAATGAACACTAAAGGTCAAGTCACTACGCCAAGCAAGGCAAAGGCCTAGGCTTTGTTCCTCCTGTAAGTTTTTAAAAGAAGTTCATAATGTCATGGCACTCACTTTGACTCCCTTCCGATTTCATACACAATACTGCACTTACCCCTGAATCACCAGGTGAAAATATTAACTTGTCATTGATGAATGAACGTCACGAAAAGGAAATGACTGAGTATAGAACTTAACCAGCTGGAAGGGTCGGTATTTCAGCACAGGTATGGCAGGTAGTTTCTTGTCCTACAATTCTTTCCTACTGTCAGTCACCTGAAACATTTATTTGCACTCAATACCCTGGGGCCAGGG